AACATGTATAGACTTCATTTTTACATTAAATTGTTGCATTTGATGGACCCTGTTATATTAATCATTTATGTACTTTAATGTCATTTTATTATTTTAATTTCAATGATAATTTTACCCCCAAATAGATTAAATTACAAGCAAATCACAAACACACGACACACATATATATCTTAACCCCATTCTAACGCTTACAGTGCATTACATTTAAATTAATCTCACTGCCTTCATATTCTCACATTTACACCTGCATAATTCACTATTCGGCCATATGGCAGATACCCAACCGGATAATACTTATAAACAAGGAGTCCATATTTTATTTGAATGTGTGACGATTCAAAAGCCTTTTGTTTAAGCGTGTATACCATATGAAGATGGCCCAGAAAGAGGGCCGAAACATGTAGTGGGTAGGAATAAATCATTGTTAATATCAGGTGGTTTTGTTAACGGTACTGTAAAAGTTATACTTCAAAAAGAGCGTTTCGTGTTAGATAATGGTTTCGCCATAGCTCAAGCGGCTACTCGCTGGCTTCCCACCGAGGCGGCCCGGGTTCTATCCCGGGTCTGGTCAAGTGGGATTTGTGGTGGACAAAGTGGCGCTGGGGCAGGTTTTTTTCCGAGTACTTCGGTTACCCCTGCCAATCTTCATTCCACCAATTGCTCCACAATCACCCTCACCTATCATCTGGGGCTGGTACAATAGGCCAGAAGTGGCCGCAGTACAAGGGACTTAGTTCCACCCCACTAGCAATAAGGAAATACATAATGATTTTCTGTTTGATGACTCTCCTTGGAGAAACCAGTCGCACTGTAATTTCATAGATGTGAATTAAAATGAAATTGGTGCAACAATTTTTGTTTAGATACCAACTGGTGACTTGGAACGAAAATCTTTCAGTTATTTCGGAAATGAGATATGCGAACAGGGAGATGCTGCCTGCCATTTATGTATGCATATTTGTAGACTCAATAGAAAAGGAAGTGTAAGAAAACCCACATGCGTATGACAGCCCTTTTCTTTACCTGTCACTCATTCACCTCTGACTTTAAAGCAATTTAAAACTGCTCACAGTCTCTCTTTAATTTAAAATAACATGAAAATCACATTAATTGCTACATGTTTCGGCTCTATTTGGCCATCTTCAGGTAATTTTTCACTTTTTGAAACTGTCACACTGCACTAGATCCTAAGTCAATGTATTCCATGCAGTTGCATACCCTTGTTTACACGAAAATGCGTTTGTTTGAGAACGAATCTCTCTCTCAGTTTCGAGTTATTTCCCTTTTTCCCCGTTCATGTTTCTGTAATGTCTAATATCGTGTATGTTTATTGTCAACGCAAAGATGTATCACAGTTTTATGAACTTGCCATTTTTATGTCTGCATGTTATTTTCCTTGTATGGGCGTTCAAGTTGAAGTCAAAGTCATGTTGCAACTGACGGTCAGTCAGTCTGTTTGTCTTGGTGTCGAGCCCCAGCTGGGGCTCATGACCAGATATTTCTTTTGAAAGAAAATTACTGTCTTGTTCATGTGGGGCGCCCTCTCTGACGAGAGGTCGGGTCTGTCATTTGTCAGTCAGTCTGTATTAATAAGTCCATTGTCTGTGTTTACATACATTTACATATCCACTTTTGATAGTCCAAACCTTTTAAAAGTCTTCAATGGACGCTATGTTCCTCTTTAGCCATTTCAATAGAGTGACTGATTTATTGGGGAAACCGATGCATTAGCTTGTAATGACTTTCTTTTCGCATTTGGACAGGAATAACTGCCTTGTTTTGTTACCTGCAGCTTGGGTGACCGCAAAAGGGACGCCGCCATCGAAAGGGAAGTCTGTAATTTGCCGACGATGTAAATTTTGTTTTACTAATAGGGTAGTTGTTATAAAAGTGTCTTCGGAAGGGTGTAATTGGACCCTAAACTAAGAAATAACCGCTTTCACGTGTAGGGTTCCGGGTTCAATATCTTTGGATCTCTTTATTCTCAAAGTTAGTAACGTGATTGTCTAGCGCTGATGGTATGATGAACTGGCAGTTAAAATCAGCCATTAGGAAACTATTCTTGTCTGGGAGAAAGGCCGTCGGTTCAAATCCTATACAGTGGATGAAGTGACGCTCCCGCAGGATAGAGTGGGCAGAAGGACTTGGCATTTAGAATTCATCAGAGTCAGACGTCATTGGGCTTCACTCTCCAAGTTTATCTAAATTTAACAGTCTTTATTTGGTTCGATTAATCTTTGATAATAATAAAAAGGTCACATTACTCCGTACTTGCTAATAAAGTTATAGTGTTTGCTTCTGAAATAAACAATTTGTGATTAAGCAGAAAATAGTGTCTTTGATTTCTATCAGTGGACTGGTTTTAAATGTGCAGTTTTTCCGTTGGCTCAGTTATTACCGTGACACGGTCCTGAGAAGAGACAAGTGTTCTACCGAAGCGGGCATATAAATAAATAAGTAAATAAATATAAAGATACATAGGGGACGGCCACAAGAAGTGGCGCCCAACGGTTACAAGAAGTGGCAGCCAGTGAGCGGTTAGACACTCTTATTCCTTAGTTCTATGTACAGTATATACAAGGCCTCTGTTAGTCCAGGCTCAGTACAGCAGGTTATGCTCTATTTCTAGAATCATTTGCTACCACGCCAGTCTAGTCACTTGAACGGTATGGGCGTTCAGTGTGATTGTTCCCGCGTATATATCATTTCTGTGGGTGTCTGTGCTGCTATCCAGCGTAAAGTTGGTGTACTGTCCTTACCTTCGTTTAAGAAAGCCTCATGCGAAGCTCCGGTTCCAACATTTTGCAAAGTGACTTCTACAGGCACTCTATTAACTGTAGCGGTTATTTAGCATTCGGTGAGGCGAAAGAACTACCAGGTTTGGCGCATACAGAAAGACTGGTGACGAAGCGGTAGCAGTCTGCGTAAAGGAATACACCCCCTCTCTCCTGGAGGGATAATTAATCTAGTTGAATAGATTCTCTGAACGTTCATCTCTGACATTTGTGTAGCGATGGATTACCACGACATCTATTATCCGCGAGTGGTCTTATGTTTACACGGTCTAATTGTTTGGGAGTTTACAGTGCATTATGTCAACCGTGAATGTTTTTATAACGCATGTCTCCATTACGAGTACAGTTTTTATTGTACCAGATCACTGTATATATTATCACACGTGTTTATTTGAACAGATAAAGTCAGTTTCACGACATGTTTCAGTAACTCAGTGGCCGACATCATGTGAACATGCACATAAAACTACATAAAAACTAAAAGAACTGCAAAAGATTTGAACTTTTTTTTTGCTAGTGGGGTGTGACTAAGTCCCTTGTACTGCAGCCACTTCTGGCCTATTGTACCAGCCCCAGATGATAGGTGAGGGTGACTGTGGAGCAATTGTTGGAATGAAGATTGGCAGGGGAAACCGAAGTACTCGGAGAAATCCTACCCCAGCGCCACTTTGTCCATCACAAATCCCACTTTACCAGAAGCCGGGATCGAACCCGGGTCACCGCTGTGGGAAGCCAGTGACTAACCGCTTGAGCTATGACGCGGCCTGAGATTTGAGCTTAGTAAAAGTTACTTTGTTTAATAATCTGAATCAATTAAATGAGAATGTAATGAAGGCCCCGAAATAATATATAAGTTAACTTGAATTTATCTCACTATAAGAATTGATACTCATCTAGAGTTCCTACGTCTGATACAACAACAATGAACTTAATAAACGTACTGTATTCGTTTAAACCTAGCCGGCATATACATGTTGTGGTATGCAGACCCGTTACTAGGCAACGACAGCGAAATAAGTAAATACATAACGGCCGTTATCAAGCAGAAGACGATAAACAGCAACAGAGGAACGGTATTTTCTGTGAGACCCGTGCCGAAATATTATAAGCAGGACAAATCAAGAGTGAGCTAGAGGACTGCTGCAATTCAGTCTCTGCGAGCTGTTGCTGTAAGAAGCTGATATTTGAGGCCGCGGACAGTTCGGGAACCCAGAGGAAGGGGAACATCCGCCGTTGAAAGCCGCTGTCAAGCAACGGCTAGTGAAGACTCTAGCGGACTAAAACATCTAGTTTGTCCTACAGTGATTTGTGAAGGGCGTAGAACAGTGACAGCATAATCCTCACTTGTAGTTACGAGTTGCAACAGTTCAATAAATCCGATTACCGATCAAAACCCCGTCTATAGTCACTAGAATCCTGATAATATTAGCATCTGACTCTATACAGTTGTATATCTATGTATTTAAAAGTGATTTCATGTAATATTTAATGTATACAGACGGGCGGACACCACCGAACAGGTTGGGATGGAGATACAGCCTTCAGACACCAATTCGTGAGCGTTCCGTTCTAATCTCGGTAGAGCCGCCGACTATTCGGGATACTATTCCGCTTAGGCAAAGACGGCTCCCTTCCAAGCCCTCTTCAACTCACGTATCTCCCGTCATCCTACCGGCCGCCGCTATAGTCTCAAGACTGAACTTATCGTTTCATAACCTACAAATCAGAGGGAATCTGGCTTCAAACATTAATTTAAAAACAACAGATTAAATTAAAATCCACCGTCTCGGAGAATGGGTTCTCCGAGACGTTGTGTCTTAAGAAAAGAACAACAAAACAGAACGATGGCCATATCCAAAAACGCAATAATTGTATTAATATAGCTTGTCACAAAATTTTAGTTCCCATTAAAATCCATAGCATTTTGTTTTCTGCGTGTGTGATTTAATGTGTTTATCCACCTGATGATGGTAATTTAGTGACCGACATATTCTGTCTATTTATGTAGAAATGAAGACTTTGTGGCAGAATACATTGCCACTTGAAAGCTTACGTAAACAGGACCCAGAACTATAAGAATATATCCACTGTTTACGCCCATAGTTTGAAAACTGTAAGCTTCTATAACTGGCATAGACTAATACAGTGTCTGAATACAGGTCTATATAAGGAATGTTTATAATATGACGTTGTAGAAATACTTACCTTTCTTTTCGCAGTTCGGCGTTCTTCTTCCGAAAGTTGGAGACGAGGAGCTGCAGTTCTTCCGCATGGTGTTCGTACACGTGCGACAGCTGCTGGGTGAAGTCCGAAACTGCCAACAGAACATTTCCCATAAGAGCCAATTGCAGGACAACATTCGAATATTCTGTGGGTTATTACGAGTATATGACGTCAGGAGCCAAACTCTACAGAGTCGATGGTATCTGATTAGTGAATTGGAAACGATTTGGAAAGAGCTGCCTGTTTGACGTCCTTTTCCGTCATTTGCCTGAAGGAACTGGAGAAGATAACGAAAAACTTCAGCAATGAGAGCTGTGTCGCGATTAAGACTCGAACCGAGTACCTCCCGAACACGACTCTAGAGTTTTACAGCTATAATAATATTGTCACGTGTTGGGTATGTCACGCGACAAATAACTTCACGTGGGTCTCGGATTTAGGGAATTTTTATTGGACACTCGCACTTACACACCTTACAATTATTACCACTTCCAGTATCACATGACGTCTCAACTATCCTTGGCCGTGGTTGGATCTCGACTGTCCCTGGAGGCGGATATCCCAAGATCGTCTTGTTCTCGTTTGTGTCGAAGTCGAAGTCACGTTGCGACTGACGGTCAGTCAGTCAGTAAGTCTTCGTGTCGAGCCCGATGTAGGGGCTCATGACCAGATATTTATTACAGTTTGACATTTACGGTCTTGCTTTTGTGGGGCGCCCTCTCTGACGAGAGGATGGGTCTGTCTTCTACTATATGCTGCTGATCCTTGCCAGCGCAGTCTTTCTCGGGTCCGAGTCCCTTGAGACTCGCGACCATATTTTACTGTCTGAGATTTCAGACTTCCCTTTTCGTTCCCTCCTACGAGTCGCAGGGTGACGGTGGAGGTTACGCCATTTGCATTAAATGCTAGGATTTTCAGCGGCCTATGAACTCTAGCAGCCATTTTGCATGAAAGTAAGTACCATTTTTGTAATGATATAGCTCCACTGAGCTCTGTCATGATCTGATACACTATAGTGGCTACAGTGTCACTGTTAGACGCACTGAGAGCCTGTACTGACAGGCCTGTTTTCTGAAATTCCTGTTGTGGCACCTGCTGCACTGCAGTGGCTACAGTGTCACTGTTAGACGAACTGAGAGCCTGTACTGACAGGCCTGTTTTCTGAAATTCCTGTTGAGGCACCGTTGCTGCACTGCATTGGCTACAGTATCACTGTCAGACGAACTGGGAGCCTGTACTGACAGGCCTGTTTTCTGAAATTCCTGTTGTGGCACCTGCTGCTGCACTATAGTGGCTACAGTGTCACTGTTAGACGCACTGGGAGCCTGTACTGACAGGCCTGTTTTCTGAAATTCCTGTTGTGGCACCTGCTGCACTGCAGTGGCTACAGTATCACTGTTAGACGAACTGGGAGCCTGTACTGACAGACCTGTTTTCTGAAATTCCTGTTTAGGCACCTGCTGCTGCACTGCAGTGGCTACAGTGTCACTGTTAGACAAGCTAGGAGCCTGTACTGACAGGCCTGTTTTCTGAAATTCCTGTTGAGGCACCTGCTGCTGCACGGGTTGCCGGACGCTTTTCCCCTCTATATGGTGGTGCTGTTGTTGACTGTCTTGACGCAGTGCAGCTACGTAGGACTGCTCTGGTGAGGTGAACTTAGAGAAGAACGTCCTCCCAGCTCCCTTTGAAGCTCGCTGTGCTCTTCTCCTTTCGCATGGCTGTAACCTCAGTACGACGTTGGATGAGGTTTCTCTCCTTCTACTGGGGCGCAATTGCAGCAACTCGGCGTAGATTCTGTGTTCGTCTTTTCGGGGCACTCCTCATGCAGGTGGCCACCACCGCACCACAAACATCTTGGGAGTTGCTTGCAGTCGGCCCAGACATGGCCAAAGTTTTGTGCAATTGTAGCATTATATAAGGCCGGTTTGAGCTCTGTATGATTCTACCTTGATAATTACACGGTTAAGGCTATTCAGCTTGAAAACCTATTTTCTTGTTAAGGTAACAATGAAGAGCGGTAGGATTTCCACGTAGGTCTGTCCATTTGATGCTCTTCGATTGGTCAATTGCCTCACGTTTATGACGTTGAAGCCTAAGCGCTCAAGGCTGTTGGAAATATCTTCTGCTGGCGTGTCTGGGGGAAGGTGGCGGACTACTGCCTTGATAGGCTTTTCAGAATTTGGAGAGAAGGTGAAATACTGGAGATTATTTTTCTGTCCCTGCTTATATAAGGGTTATGCGGACTGGATGCCAGACACCATTTCTCACGGTTCCGTTTCTACTATTTCGGCAGTCCGCTGTTACGCAACGAGTCTTCCGTTGTTCGTCTCCGGGTAGATTCGTTCGTCGTTTCGGCGTTGTCTACGCAAAGGCTCGCTGTTATTGCGCTACCATGGAAGTACCTACTCCAAACACGTTACAATATGTATAGTTATTCGCAATTGTCTGAAATATTGTAGCGTGGAGTACTGTTGCTAGGCAACGATCGAAAGGAGAAGCATGCGTTGATTCGTAGCGCCCGGCGAACGCGTCAACAAAACATGTTCTCTCCCTCTGAAGATTCATAGATTACAAGTGTTTGAAAAAATACCAAGATAATGCACGTGCGAAATTTAGAATATTAGAACCTCGTCATGGGTCGGACATATAAGAACTGCAGCCAGAAGATATGAACACGGAATTTTGTTAGGGAAAACTGTTGGTAAGGTCATTTGGAAGATCAAAAAGAAGACGACTTAGGGTCTTGTCAGGTTTGGTATAAGTTCTGAAGCACAATGTTACATTATAACCGTACAAATATCGGGGCCTGGCTGAGTACAATATGAAAGCAAAGATAGAATTTAGCATGGTTCCTTGGCATTATGTTCAGTTGCAGATACAATCTCATTACTAGGAAGGTAACCTTACCAAAATATGTCTGTCACTATAAATAACCATTTATTATTCTTTTAACTCCATAAAATTATTGACTTAGTTCTTAATGGTTCCACCTGCAAATTTCGTGGAACATAAGAGAACAAGATACAGCGTTTGAGACAAGAATATCTGAACACAGGAGACAAAAAATAATTTTGAAGTGTCTCCGTGCCTAATTAATTGTCACGCCACAAAGATGTATGGGGAAGTGGAGATATAGCTCCATCATTCTTGACTTTGGCACTAGATGGAGGTGAGTAGTCAGCTTGAAGCCCCTGTCGCTCTACCCCCTGGATAAGATCCCTCCGTACGCATTGGACTGGAGGCTGGGTGGGCCCCAGAGCCGGTCTGCAAGCTGTGAAGAAAAAGCACTGCCCCTGCCGAGAATCGAACCCCGGCGCATCGCTATATGTACTGAGCTATGTCACTAACGAGTGCCATATCAGGAAGCAAAATATGAGGGAGCCACTGAAATTACACCGCGGAAGATGAAGGGTTCCCTATCAAATATATGGGTAAAGGATAATTACCGGTCAATCTAGGACAGAATAGTAGTCGAAAGTATTTCCGCTAGATGGCAGCACTGGATCTGATTGAGGAAACTGGTAGAAGCACAGCACTACGCGCTAGGCACTATACATTATGCAAGATGGCTAATGGACCAAGAGAGATGAGTGACTAGTGGCCGTAAGGCGACATCCCTACAAAGAAATGACAAAAGAACAGAAATGACGTCGTTTATCAAGGCAGTGGGTTACTTCATGAGAGAAGGAACATCTCATCTGATACACTCCTGCAGCTACTGTTCTGGGGTAAAGTTACTGCCACAGTTGTACACAGATATGTTTGTACTGAGTTTCGGATAATATAATTAACAAAATATGCTCAGTTAAAGCCCGTCCAGAGTTTCGGTTCCACGCCCGAAATGCAGACTGTTTGGGCTTTAAGAGGTTTGCATGGCGCCTAATGGAAAATGAATACAAGAACTTCTAAACATCTACTGCTTCTTATGAATAACAGCAGGAAGCAGAACACTTCCTAAAGCTAAAAGTAATTCACAAGAAATTATGGTCCTTTAAGGAACCTGAAAATTCATTAACCTTTTCACACGGAACAGCCACTGGACCGTATCTCGAATCAAATTAATCTTGACCACACACATAACCTATTAAGTCTACTACGTCATTTGAGACAATATTGTCACGTGATGGAATGAACAGATACGGGATTAGACTGGTAACCGGATTCAGTGGGCACTTTTAACACACAACACGTGACTACACTTTACAAATAACTATCACACAAAGGCTAGTGTTCTTAATCATGGTCTTCACTTCGTTGCCTTGTAACGTCTTCCAACAGTGGATGTTCCTAAGCTCCCGAACTCACATCCTCGCAGTCTGGCGGGGATCTCATACCAACCTCTAACTTTTCTAACTGCCGTCTCAAGAATGTCCCCTAGCCAAAGTCAAAATTACATTGCGACTGACGGTCAGTCAGTAAGTCTTGGTGGCGAGGCCCATCTGGGGCTCATAACCATATATTTATAACTCTTTGGCAGTTACAGTCTTGTTTTTTTTTTTTGAGGCGCCCTCTCTGACAAGAGGACAGGTCTGTCATCTTTACAAGCTGTTGGTCCTTACCAGCGCAGTCTTTCTTGGGTTCGAGTCCCTTGAGACTCGCGACCATATTTTACTGTCTCAGATTCGAGACTTCTCTTTTCGTCGCCTCCTACGACTCGCAGGGTCACGGTGGAGGTATTCGATCCCGCCTCCACACGGGGCTGGTACTCGTTATACAGCATCGGCAAGCCAAGCTGCCAAGAGTTACTGTATTCTTTTCCCACAGCGGCGGCCCGGGTTCGATCCCGGGTCTGGTCAAGTGGGATTTGTGGTGGACAAAGTGGCGCTGGGGCAGGTTTTCTCCGAGTACTTTGGTTTCCCCTTCATTCAACCAATTGCTCCACAATCATCCTCACCTATCATCTGGGGCTGGTACAATAGGCATGGACCGCGTAGAAAACATCGTTTCCAGCAATTCTTTTATTGTTGTGCGTGGACTCGTTGCGGTGAGAATCTGTTTGTTTCGCGGTCACTACCTAGTAACGGGCCTACACGCTACATTATGGTGAAAAGACACATCAATAGAATACACACATACACCTATCCTTGCATA